TAGATAGATAGATAGATAGATAGATAGATAGATAGATAGATAGATAGGTTTATTGCTGTTAAGTGTGTGTAATGGTGTGAATGACTGCAGAAACCTTTGTTCATCCACTCACACTCCTTCTGGAATAAGAAAATAAAGCGATGAAGGTCAGTTGGAGAGCAGACTGCCAAATATAGCCGCTGTGTTCATGTGAGGGCCAGACTCTCCAGAACGACAAGCCCTGCTCTGACCATGCTCTGTAATTGAGGAGAAAATAAGTACAGAAATTATATGTTTATTTTTGACAACAATTTTAATCTTCTGTGCTCTCCTTCAGAAAACGAAACGCCCACAAAAAGGCTCTGAGAATGTGTCCTGTATGCCGAAGGTTAAAAGTTAGGTTTTTGACATTTTATAGCAAAACAGACACTGCAATTCTAAAATGATTCTCTTTCTTTTGAAAAAACGTTAAGGTAATCTCAAACAGAAGCCGTATCTGCTGCATTCACATCACACTGTAAGCACTGATTTATTTCTCTTTGACGTAAGCCCACCATGCTCATCTACTTAGACCAACGGGGACAGTTTATAAAGATACAGTTTTCTGTTAAAAAAGAGATCTGTGATCATTTCAACAGAGATTTTTTTTTCATGAACGCAAATTTAAATTCTAAATCTCCAATACAACTAACAAATCTAATAGTCTTATTTTGTTTCCGTGTGTGATTTGACAAACAGATATATGTCACCTGAGAGCTAAGGGGGTAAATGTTAAGAATCTTGTCACTTTTTTTAATCCACATTAGATATGATAAGTTTAGTAAAACTTAGGGCAGTAGAATGTTTGAAATTATTATTCTTGCCATGTGTTTATATAACATTGTCAAATATTTTCTCTAAATTATTTTTTCTTTTTTACTACTCAAAGACTATACTATTTTGTAAATGTCAAAACTTTTTCCATCGTTCATTTGCAATTCTTAAAACAAAAAACATAACAAGACTAAGACTACAGAAAACTCTCTGTGCAGTAATTTCCCCTCCTTGTTGTTTAAATTCTTTTAATTTGATGTGATAATCTCTTATTTATTTTATTCAACTACTTGTTCCTTTTCTTCTTTGTTTGCCTCTGAAGTTCAGGCACTTTAACCATCGCACTCACGTCTGAAAAGGCAGTTAAAAGCATTTAAGAATATTGGAAACAGAGACAGGGTTGAGACCAGAATAATAAAATCTCGGATATAGAAACCACAAACTCGCTCAACTTAATTTCTCTCATCTATGTGGCGTGGGCCAGGACTTCATGATCTTTTGTTATTTTTCCTCGCAGCGAGAAAACCGAGACATTTTTCAATGGCTTTTCTTGTTTGTTTGTTTTTTTATTTGTTTCTGTTCTGATCCGTGCTGTTATCTCATCTTCATGTACCAAATAAACTAATGTGCCACTTAGAAGAGGTTTTGAATCGTCACACTGAATAAAGAAATCCGTAAATATAATTCTGAAGATGTCAAATTGAATCTTTTTCTTCAGACTCCACGGGACCGATCCAAGTTTTAACATAAAAATAAAAACTAAAGCCAGAGAAACAGAATAGCGTCCACATGGTGATTGATGAGTAACCCATTCATGCACTTGTACTGAAAAACGATTCGACACTCTCGTTTGGGGAGGTGGGATGTCCTCGCTTTAGCTACCAATCTCCATCCATTTTCCTCCATCTTTGGGATTTTATTGCTTCTTAGCGAGTCTTCAAAGAGCCCATAGCCTATAATTAGGGGGCGGGCCCCCAGTGCCTCAAAACACTTCGGCTCGTTAGAGCCAGACTTGGTCCAAACTGTCCCGGGACTCAGAGCAGCGCGTCTCCCTCTGCCCTCAGCTGCATAAGGATTTTGTTTCTCAGGGATGGCCGCATCCATTCTGGAGGTAGGGAATGTAATTGTAAGTACATTCAATTCGTTTTTTCTTCTCTTTGAAAATATCTCTTAATAACTTTTGTGAAGTGAATGTTGCTTTATTTACTTGACTTTTTGACAAAGTAGGTAAAGTATTGAATTTCTCTAGTGTATGACTATGATAAAATAGATTATGATAAAATAGTGATACAAAAAGGGAATTATATTATTATTGTGTGCTTTCATGACGATGGATCCTTAATTTAAAGCAGCGTGACAATTTTCACTCAACATAAAACTACTAAAATTTTAACCTCTGCTAATCTCTGTCAAATCCTGGGATTAACGTGTTTTTCCAGAATTCCATTTTTTGGGGGGAAATAAACATTATAAATTAAGTTAAGAAAGAAGTTATTTCCAATGTCTTCAATTACCTGGACATTGTCAGTGGTATTGGATCTAGAAAAAAAGAATAGATTGCCTGAAAAGATGTGAGGAAACCTACTAAGCCAGAAATCTGAGCCTAATCAGTGAGATACACAGGGTTGATCTCAGGATTTTAGCACGGGAAGATTAGGACTAATCACCTCTTAATGGAGAAGTGCATATTTTACAGAGGTTTCTGCTGCAATTAAAAGATTAAAAATGCAGTGCATTTGAGTTCAAATAAATCCCATACTTATTTATGTTACCACAAAAAATGTGTGAACTCAAAAAAGCAGAAACTGCTATTCTATTTGTTACATCTAAGTGTAGCCTAAAGCATAGAAATAATGAGCCTGATTACTTCAAAACTTCAAAAGGTTTACTTCTACAACGGAAAAATAGTTTGATTTTGAGCATATGTAACATCGTTATTATCATAAACAGTCTACAACGTGTTACAATTCATTGTTCAGACATGAATTAAGAAAGTTAACAGTTGGGAAAATATTTAAAGTAAAACTAATGTGAATTTGAGAATAGCTGGTCGTATGTTAAATACACAGTGCGGGAAATTCCTCTTTTCTTAGCAGAGCTGAACATCCTATGCTGAAAATTGCCTTGACCACTTTGAAAAATGGGGAGAACGGGGAAAGCCAGCAGTGGCAGTCAGACATGAGTTTTTTATTAGAGTTGACACTAACAGAAGTAGCAGTGGCAAGCAGCCATTTCCTGCAGACAGACGGGCTCATTTTCCCCCTTGTCCCCTCCTTCCCAGGAAGACTCACGCTATGGCTCCAGTCCTCTGGCTATGTTAACTGCTACCTGTAACAAGTTTGGCAGCACGAGCCCTGTCAGAGATTCAGCTACACCCGGCAAAACCCGCAGCACCACTCCAGTGAAGAAGCCCTACGCCATGACCTCTGACCTTCAGGCAGCCAAGAACGGCCGGACACCGGACGGCAGCAGCCTGGCAGACTCCTACTCTGGCTCTTTTACCACAGCCGGAGGAGGTGGTGGATTGCTAACTCCCACTGGAAGCCCTCCTCACTCCGCCGGAGGCTACTCTACAGAATATAACCCTTTCTCCCACTCTTTCCAGACTTCAGTCTCTCAGGACCCCTCTCTTTTAGTCTCAAAGGCCCATGCAACAGCCGACTGTCTCACCAGTGTCTATACTTCACTGGACATGACGCATCCCTATGGCTCCTGGTATAAGGCTGGGATCCACCCTGGCATAACCGCGGCGCCAGCGAATGCCACTTCTTCTTGGTGGGACGTCCACCCCAACTCCAACTGGCTGTCGGCAACACAGCCCCAGGCTGACGGAGGTCTCCAGGCTTCCTTGCAGCCCGTAGCACCGCAGGCATCCCTCAGCCCACAGCTGCCAAGCTACAGCACCGACTTTACGCCACTCAACCCGGCTCCATACCCGTCCGTGGGACTGGGGTCCTCGTCACATCTCCTCCAGCCCTCCCAGCACATGCTGCCCCAGGACATGTACAAGCCCAAACCTGTGCCAAGCGCAGGGCTTATCGAGAATCCCATGGGCCTCAAGCCCGCCAGGGGATCAGGAGGCTACAGCGGAGGGGGTACACCCAGCAGGTCATCATGTGACTGCCCCAACTGCCAGGAGCTGGAGAGGCTGGGGGCCTCGGCTGCGTCCCTGAGGAAGAAACCGGTCCACAGCTGTCACATCCCGGGCTGCGGGAAGGTCTACGGCAAGGCCTCCCACCTGAAAGCTCACCTCCGCTGGCACACCGGCGAGCGGCCCTTTGTTTGCAACTGGCTGTTCTGCGGGAAGCGCTTCACCCGCTCTGACGAGTTGGAGAGGCACGTGCGCACCCACACGCGGGAGAAGAAGTTCACTTGCCTACTGTGTAACAAGCGTTTCACACGCAGTGACCATCTCTCGAAGCATCAGAAGACCCATGCGGATTCCGCACTGCAGGGCAAAGCGGTGGCCGGGGAGGGAGACGCCGACCCTCGGAGCGAAGAGAACGCAGAGCTCAACTCCGGCGCTGTCACCACCAATCCTGTCGCCGACCAGATTGCCAATGGAGATGAGAAGACTGCCACACCTAACGGTGTAGAGAACAGCAGTGGATTGTTGGAGATCTGACTGCATTAAGTCAGATCTGCCCAGTGCTATATTGGGACTTTTTAGGCTTGAAAGATTAGCCATACCATTGAATATAATTTTTTTTTCTCCTCAAACTTACAAAGGATATAATGTTTTGAAAGACTTTATTAGATAAATGACTAAACATGTTACAGGTAGCAATCACTCAATTTCCTCTGGACCACACACACACACACACATAACAAATTCTAGTCAATCTGACAAGAAAACGAAAACAGTTGTATGCAGACATACAATCAAATACACGCACAAAAATACACAGCCAAGCCCTTATGCATACGAACACAGATATAAGGTGCATATGTGCACATTTGCATGCACAGAAATAACCATGAGCAAATGCGCAGGCTTCTATAATGCATTTATGCATGAAAGGGTGCCCACAAAAGAATGCCTGTGCAGTCACACATACAAGTAAACATGCTCATGCGCACACTTTGTAGTCTGCACACATTTTCTGCCTTTCAAATGAGACAAACCACTGGGGAAATTTAATCTGCAAAAGCAGAAGGAAAAGAGCTCTGAGGCTGCAAAAGGAAAGAAGTTTTATAACAGGACCTATGGTTGGGATGACGGAGTTGATGGAGCATTGCATGCGTGGAGAAAAAAAATATGATTTACAGCTGTATTCTGATACTTACTCATTATTCTTGAAACAACCAGTGGACCGTGTTTCTTACAGCTTGTACTTGTCAAAGAACATCCTGATGTAAAAGATACAGCGTCTTTTCTTTTGTTTGCTTCTTACTTACTGTCTAATTTAATTTCATATTTACACAATTAACCTAATTTATGTCTTAAATTATGCACATGGAAGATAATCTTGCACTCTGCAGGAAATATTATGCATTAAAAAGTAGTGGTTGAAGACTACCAAGAGGAAAGTAAAATGCATTAAATTAAGACTTTTTCTTCTTATTTATTAGTTATTAGGTGGAGTTTTTGGGGGAATATTTTTGAAGTTTTTATTTATAGATTTTGAAGCTTAATGTTAACTAAATTTGTATTATCTTTTAATTGTGAAGTCTTTTACACCTGGCAAGTAATGATTAACAAGGAATTTCTACTTTGTAAATACTATATATTGATAACAATATATAGATGTTTGTTAGGTGTGTTATTTTTCTACTTTTTTTCTATGTTTTGTCTAACTTTTCACCATGAAATGATGTCCATCATCCTTCATTTAATAGACACGTAAACATAAGGGCTTCATTTTTATTGCTGGCATTGTGTTACATAAATGTAAGAAAAATGTAAATAGAAATGAAGCAACGCAACATGTAAAAGTAAACAATTTTGTGAAATTTATGGCATGGAATCTTGAACATTTTGGTGCTTTTGAGAGTAAAGAAACTTTAAAAAAACGTTATCTTTGCTGTTTTTATTTCCTACACAGATGCATTCTGAGATGATCTTTCGATTTTAATATTTAAAATAGCCTGGAATAAAGAGCCTTCGTTCCAGGCATGATCTTCCTTTCTGTGAGCCCCATCCTTATCCAACCCTCTCCTCCAGTCTTGGTCATATCTCACCACGGCCAAGCAAATACTTTCATTATCTTTTGCTGCATAAACAAAGCCGTTCACTGAATTGAAGTCTTAACTCCACACAATGACCCCCTTTCAGGGAGCCAGTGTAGTTACACTCAAGACAATTGCTCCACTCTCCAACTTGAGAGGGGTAATTATGAGAGTGATGCTCCAGCAGAGTCAGGGGAGAAGAGAAGAGGGGATTAGAACAGGGGAGATGTGGTTGCATTGTTTAAGGAGGGAGGTGGTCAAACAAAGGACCCTGATAAAGTCAGGGCGCACAGAAGCGATGTAAGCTCTGGAATTCTGCGAGAACACTGAGCCGAGCATCAGCTGTTCAACAGATTGTGTTACACTGTTTCTGAAAGACAAGTGGCACTAGCATATCTTTCTGTCCACATTTCTATCAGGCTTTTCCAGACTAATAAAAATACCAAAGGTAAGAGGACTTCCCACTCTGCTTCAAAGTGAGATAGCCTGAGGACAGCCAGAATGAGCCCTGAGACAGATGTCTTGTCCAGGGAAGCTGCATCAGTGGCTCCACGACTTGATAATTACCTTTCTAACAGGTGATATAAGATACAAGACAATAAGGTCTGGTATTTGAGATGTTCATGGTCTGTATCACCATGCAGTCCAAAAAAATCAAACTGCAAAAATGAGAAAAAAAAATCAAACACGAGCAATACACTGGCTAAATCAAAAAAGTGAAGAAGAGACGTGTACAGCTGGAACCCCCACTGACGCTGCGACTCTGCTGTTCTAACATTTACACTTCCTAGTCTGCATGGTTCCAATTTAGGGCTTCTAATGAGCTGTAGTTGAGGTCAATTTATATAAAACGTCCCGGGGCTGACTCTGTCATCAAGGACCAACATGTTTATGGTGGTCTGAAGTGGGCGCACGGACGAGTCCACAACATAAAAAGGCAAACATGGGGAATGGGTATAGGAGGGTGTGTAAGGCCGACTGGTAAGGGTTGGGGGGAGGGGGGTTAAGAAGATGGTCAGTGGCTTTCAAAACCTCTACTGCTACTGGTATTTTTTCCTTTTAAAAATACACTCCAACAGCAGTGGTGGCATACTGTAGCCTTAACTTTATTTTTACTTCTTTTATTTAGAAAGCCAGGAAACATTAAGCGTTGCTTCAAATAAGGCCATAAAAAAGAAAATATACATGCAATGACACAGACAGGCAAAAGCAGAAAGTGGACAATCTGTTCCATATGGTTTGCCCACAAGTTCCCATTTACTCCAAAATCAAATCACTGCACAGACTTAACAGAACAAAAAAAAAAATTACTCCAGTGGTTCCAGATGTACCTGTTTAAACCATCAAACATCTCACTTCCACTTTAAGTCAAAGAAGAAACTTTAAAACAAGCTTCCATTTAGTTCAGTCCATAGATTTGATCACCGCCACGCAGACTTATTCTTGATGAGTTGCTCCCGAGAGAGACTCAGTTTGCATCTCTTTAGAATAAAAGACCCCATCATGATGTGTTGAACAAAATGCTAATTACCCCACTTCCCACTAAATCCAGGACTAACTGAGTAGTTGAGTAAAACAATTGACTGTGCTCTCACATAGCCACAGGCATGGGTGCCTGTTCTCCCTTCCAGTGTGTGTGAGGCGGAGGGGCTATTGGAACTGTTGGAAAGGACAAAAGCACAGGTGTCTGCAGGTGTGCCTATGTTTTTGTGGCAGAGTAGGATGGATGAGTAAAGAATGTCAGTATGCCCAGAGGCTTAATAGTCAGGTAGTAAGTAAAAACAAGAAAAGGCTTCTCTGGCAAAGGGGGAAAGGCAAACTGATTGTAGTAAACCACAACATGACCTGGAGAACAGAAGGGGTCAAGCTGAATAAAACAAAGGGGAAGGAGGAAAACATACCAGATAAGAGAGGGCAAGAGGTAACAGGGTGAAGCTAACTGGAAATGGACTCTGTCTCTTTTTCTTATCCTTTTTCACCATCATTTACGGCCAAAAGAGGAAGCAGCACGTCACATAATCAGTGTGTCTCTGTGAACTATCCTATTGTGTTTTTTTCTTCAATTCCAAATGTTTTGTCTTTATTTTATTTCCTATATTTTACAGTATTTTACGAAGCATATGATAGTAAAGGGTTATTAAGATATAATGTTTTACTACTCAGCTATATAATTTTGATATGCATGAATATGTATGCGTTTTTGTCTGTAAGTGTGCATGTGTGTGTCAACATTTCTTTCCTCATCATTGTAATTTTTGCTTTAATTAGTGATGGGGGCAAAAACAGACAAGTGAGTAAAAAACAAAGTCTAATAGCGTTGAAATTTAAAAAAAAATACATTCACTTATTTATCCACAATAAAATGGTAGTACCATCACCTTCCCTGACACCTTGATATCACTGCCACAATCACTAACATCAGCAGTGAAAAAACAAATATGATACGGATTAGACCAAACAAGATTTGTGACCCTGAGTGCGTGCTTCTAAGTAATTGGCGAACACTGTATCAACTGCCAAATCACAGTGACATATTTCGAAAATCTTGAAAATTAACAGTTGCTGCAGTCAAAGCAGGAAGGAATGGTGACTTAAAAAACTGTTCTGATTGTATAACAGCCCCATCACTGAAGCACAAAGATCCAAATCTGACAAACTATGCACACAAAACTATTTTGAAATTTAGAGTAGGTTTGGTAAATGAGATTATGTCTGTGAATCGTTTTGTTACATTTCAGTTATGAGGAATATCATCAGTGAAATTCTTTAATATAATAGTGTTAATTTTGGAACTTGACCTACTCCTTGAAAAGTTAAGTCTCCAACATGATACTACGTGGAAAGAAGTGAACTACCTTCATGATGCAGAAAATCCAAAGATTATTACGCCTTTCGCTCTGGTTTGTAGTACAGGCCCCAGATCATCCACCACACCTCTAGCACAGAAGAGGGACAAGGCAACAACTGTTGCTCAAGATAAAACCCCCCAAAAAATATTACTGATTATTGATCTTCTTTCCTGGCAGTTCCCCTCATGGATTGTGTTCTATTTGTGATTGCATGTTTTTTGCTTTTTAGTTTTCGATATTTGTGTGTTTATCATTTCAGATCCCTCCAAAACTGCCTCCAAACCTTCCAGAAGAAGTTGCTTGTATGTGGCAACTGTGCTGTTGCCTGATGCATTATCTCTTACCTCCAGTGTTGCATTTATGATTAACTTATGCAGCTTTTACTTTTAAACAAACAAATAGCAGCTTGTCTTGCATCACCACATTTTCAGAGCTTTTCAAACGCCAAGCTCTAATCATGTCATGTTACCACATTTTCGTGCCTAAAATTGTCTCTCAATTTTAAAGTCATCCCTTGCTGCCCAGTGCACCAAATGCACCACTAAATGAGACCATTTTGTTTATAGGAATTGTGGGAGGGTTGTGGGTGACTCTGTGCCCCTTTAAAAAGATAATATGCTTCCATTTTAATGGCCTCCGGATGACAAATTGCTTCCAGGGGAAATTTAGGTTTAGAAAATTGCATGTTTGACACGTAAAGACATATCTACTATGTTTAAGATGTTTAACATCCATAATTCAATTATAAACAGCAGTAGGTGCCGTTGCGATTCTCTAAAGAGCTACATTTCCTGAAGAGGGCTAAAGGAAGTTAACGCTTTGCTGTTGGTTGATAATCTTGTATTTTTCCCCAAGTATAAAATCAGCATAAAATGCAGATTTTTGGACATATTCACAAAAACCTAGCAAGAGAGCAGACAGTAAAACAAATGTGTTTTACAGCATATTTGCCGCAATGGAAAATTTCTGTCTCACACAAGACGAGTAGTCTGATATCTCTTGGACATAGAATTGGAAAACTGCTTGGAAAATTAAGGTTCCATTAATGGCCTAATGGTTTTATGTATATGTACAGCACCACTAAAGTGGTCTTTCCTTTGGAAAATATACCAATCTTGATGATATTCTGACCTCCTAAACGACTTTTTTTCTTTTTTGTTTTGTTTTTTGTTTCTTTTCTTTCAGCTCAAGCCACTAAACGTTAAAATGAAGGGATTTACGAGACAGAGTGAAAGAAGAGGGTGGTGGAGGTGCAAAAACATAAAATCATAAGAAGAAAAGGTAGAGAAAGCCCAGCCAGAGTGTCCTGCCACAAACAGCTCAGTGGTAAGTGAGAAAAAGAGAGCAGCCAAATAACAAATGAATCTGGATCCGGATCAACAAAAAGAGGAAACTGAAGAAGAGAAAGACAGTCAGGGAGGAAGGAGGGAGAAAAAGGAGTGAGAGACAAAATGCAGAGAGAGGAGTGAGTGATTTGCGTTGGAAGCGGGAGCAGGGAGCCAGGGTTGGCAGGGATTTGGTGGAGGAGTGTGGTGGTTCAGAAGTCCTCCAGCGCGAGGCGCCAGTGTGTCCGGCGGGGGCCCTGACCATGAGCTGCTAACCCCCCCAGAGCCACGGCCACAAACCCCCTTCCCCCCTTCACCACCAGCACCGCCACCCATCCAACCCAAAACCCACTGGCAGGCAGTGCTTCACTGAAGCTGCTGCTGCATGTTTATTTAATATTCTGAAGAAATTGAAATATCTTTGTGGCTTCACACACATACATACACAATTACGTATGCACAGACATACATGCACACATTCGTTCACACACGTTACCGCCACAGTATATAAATAAATAAAGCAGAGTAATAATGTTCTCTTGATCGGGGGCCAAGAAAAGAGTCGGAGAAAATATTTTTCAAATGGTGTTTTAAGAAACGTAGAGGGAGGAGCGTAAATGTTTGACACTGCATGTTGCGAGAGCAGGCGGCATGTCTCAGTCTGACTCCCACAGAGGGGAGAGAGCATTAACATAGTGGCTGACAAACAAGAAATAGTTTCCATGTGACAAGAGCAGAGAAACTTAAATGTATCTAGTGATGTAGATGTATTTATTTATCTTATGTATGAAAAAAAAGTGAGTATTGTGAGTTTTGTGAGTGCTGAGGAACATAGCAGCTCTGGGTGCGTGGTCTGTAAGTAGGGACATGTATATGAGGTGTTTGTGAAGTGTTTAGGGAACAAATGTGCATGCCAGCCCTTTCCTGGTCGTGTGCGTATAAATGCATGAAGGCACACACACATGCCCATTCATAATGAGTCTCTTATCATTACAAAGCGATTCCTACAGACAGAAATCCCTTAAACCCCCTCGCTTATGGTCTTCATGCTATCCCCCCTCGGTCTCCTCTCTCCTCAACAGCCACCAACCACTGCTGCTGCCAAAAATAACACAGGAGCGCCACTCCAACCCAGGCCTCACCACAGTACAGCCTGGCCGCAAGCGAGGGATCAAAACACACACAAAAAAGGAAACACATCATATTGTGGAAATAGTTAAGAAGAGCATTCATAGAACTCTGTTCTTGAAGATATCTGCTGATGATTTTAGCCACCGAAGAACCACACATACTATAGCACCAGGGCCAAGAGAGGGAAGAGGAAAGTGTATTTGTGTGTCTATGAGTGCATTGCTACTCAGGTGGCATCCGTGACTGATCTCATTCAGTTAGTGATTTAACCACCAGTTCAATAAAAAGCACTGCCATTATCACGTTATAGGCCAATGAATTAGGACCTTCAGATGACAAATGAAGACGAATCATTTGCCATCTGAAACTGTTTAATGAGGAGGAGGGGTACACTCTGGTCACAGATTAATCACGCTGCTTCCATTGTAGGTTTGTGAGTTCAAATGGGAGACAGCTTTACTCCCTGTCATGGCCAGTTCACTCAGTGTTGTATTTGGCTAAATGTACTTATCCACATTGGCACACTGATGCCAGCAAATGAAGCCATCAAAATCCGAGCTCTATTTCAATGGTGGCTAGCAGGGATTTACAAGCAAGGCATCATGGGATTAATTGTCAAGCCACAGATATAAAAGAAAATCACAGAAAGGTGGAAAATGTACGGAACAATTTTATGGAAGTGCTGCTGCATTCATTGGAAAGGTTGTGGCTCCAAAGGATTTAACGGGTCGGCATGGTTCCTTTCACTAGAGCTAACAGATCCAAACCAAATGGAGACTGGACTTAATGGAGCTTTCGGATTGTAATATCTTTAAATCATGAATAAGATATAAAATATGATTTCCTTGCAATTTTAGCTGGCTTTAATTATGAACTGATACAACCTTCCTACTGAGCCCCTGGAAATCAAATTAAGTTTAGTTTGGCTAGACCTCCAAAGACTAACTCCTTTTTGAAAAAGAAATGCTGTTCACCATTTTTGTCATTTTATCATGCAATCTGCATTCCTCTGATTTGTTTAAAGATGGTTACATTTAACTTTAATATGTGGTCATACGTTTCTTGTTTTTATGAATTGTACTGATTGTTTGTTTTATATATTATACATCTTTGAAGATTGCTTGAAAAAAATGCTTTATAATTTTAAAATGTTACTTGTGTTTTTGTGGTATAGATTGAAGAGAATTGAAACTCTATGTGCTCTCTGAATAGATATCCATTCAATTTCTGCCACAAAACTTTTTTTTTGTTGCTTTGATCCACGGATCCACTGGCAGTCCCGTGTTCCTACACTTGTCTTCAGAAGAGAGACAGGTGCGTAACACTCAAGGACCTTTGCTGACAGATAACCCCCAACACAAACTTGACACTAGCTGAAAAGAACTGTGACTTAATGTTGCCCTCTTCTGGTTCAATTCAGACACGTCGAGTTTTTTATTTTAGTATGAGGAGGTTATTAAGCAAAAAAAATAAATGTATGTTTAAGAAACTTTTTGTGGAACAAAAAATCTAAATAGTTGGACAGTTAACTTCAGTATACACCAAGCAAAGCACCAGTCAGTCTTCTTAAACTACAATAGATGTAAAAAAAATATATCTGCCTTCTCTTTTTATTTATTTGTACTCAAAAAAATACGTGCACATAACCTACTAACAGAAGCAAGTATTATTTCTATGCTATAGCAGTTTTAGTAGTTTTTCAGAAAATAAGCTGCCACGGGAGAGTAAAATGTTGCTATACATTACATAAACTGAGTAATGCTGAATTAACATCATATTTGATACCTAGACTACGTTTTCTGAAATGTTTTGCAAAACTTTTGCATCATTTAATGGTAAAAAACTTTGTTCAAAATATCGTTGTACACAATCAGATATACCTGATAACAGCGGGCAGAAGACTACTCGACAATAATTGCGATTTATTGCACGGTAATGAATTAAGACTCTTGGGGCTAATAGACACACGCAAAGAGATTCGGCTATTTAATTTAGATCATTGTGCTTTTTATTTACTGTTTCTTCGAATTGTTTTATTCAATAGTAGGCTACGATGATATACCTTTTTAAATATATTAGATGAAAAATTATATTTTGTATTTGTTAGCATTTTTATCAATACATGCCGCCAAAAAATCAATCTTAGATATTGGTTCAACTAAACTTGTGTTGTATGAATTCCCATAGCTTTTTAGCTTAAAATTAACTTGAAAAATATATTTTTATCCACATGTGCTCCTCTGAGCTGCGCCTTTGGGCCAGTCAGAGGCCGTGACGTCATAACTGTGGGCCGAGGACTGTCTGAGCGGAGGCACTCTCTTCTTCTGCCTTTCGTATGCAGTTGCCTCGTCATCTGTTTGGGACAATAACAAATTCCGTCTAATGAAAGCAAGTGTTCATTTTGGTGGGGGGATTCGCCATCCAAAAACAACCGGCTCTGTCTGCGTGAAATAGGGAATGAACGACGAGACAGCATCGGACAGCTGGAAGAGAAACTCCGGGTGCTCCAGGTGAGGCTGCTCAGAAGCTAAGATAGCGTAGCAAAGGCGCCTCAGGAATTAAATGGATCATACTAATGAGATATATTCTGCTACTACCGGGATTCTGATCCTAATTCTGCCTGCTATATTCCTTAACTATTTCATATACAACACCCCTCCTCTATTTAGTCTCCATTTTACCAACAAGCCTGTCTGATTTGATCACAAGTCCGTGATGCGCCTCATCTGAAGAGCAGCAGGTAGTCAAATAACTAAACTACACCGTGAATGAATTGAATACTCTGAGAGAAGATTCACACTATTGAAATCCTCTTTTTTCTGTTGATCTAAATATGGGTTAGCAATGACGTTGTGTTTTGCCTCTTGTCTGTTATTTTATAGATATTAACTAAACTTGTCACAATGTTTAGTTAAAGCCCAAAAGTACAAAGCCATTATTCTAAAAAGATGATAGAGAAAATAGCTTATGATTTTTAATTATTTTCTAAGTGCAATTTTAAAAAAAATGTTTGTGTTTTTTTTTAATGTGATGTAGTATTGAGCAAATGCTGGCTGTGAATCCCGGAAAGACGCCCATCAGTCTGCTGCAGGAGTATGGAACGCGGATAGGCAAAACCCCAGTGTATGACCTGCTGAAGGCCGAGGGACAGGCCCACCAGCCCAACTTCACATTCCGCGTCTCCGTCGGAGAGATCAGCTGCACCGGCCAAGGGCCCAGCAAGAAGGCAGCCAAGCACAAAGCAGCTGAGGCTGCTCTGAAGATGCTCAAAGGAAGCCTGGGAGGTCCAGCTGCAGTCACTGTTGGAGTGGACGGATCTATCGGGGCTGACACGTCAACGGATGGAGACTGGTAGGCTTCAGGCTTTGGGTCAAAGTTTTTTTTTTTTAGGAAATGCATGACAGAGGTTTTAATATTTTTTTTAATCTCAACTTGTGTACAGCTCACCATCAGAGATGAAGACATCCAGCAGTTCTCAGCAGTCTGAATGTAACCCCGTAGGGGCACTTCAGGTAAATAAACAAAGATCATCGGGTCAACTTTATATCACTGTTGTTTGGCTTTTGACTAATAAAGGCAGTTTTCAAGTATTTTTTTCTTCCATATTGATATCCTCCTCAGGAATTAGTGGTGCAGAAAGGATGGCGTTTGCCAGAGTACACAGTCACGCAGGAGTCTGGTCCAGCACACCGCAAAGAGTTCACCATGACCTGCAGAGTGGAAAGATTTGTGGAAATTGGTACTTTGCGTAATGTCCAACTTCCATGTGTGTGTTTGCTCTTATTGAGTTCAAGTATTTCATTGATCGTGTCATACAGTCCCTGTCCTGGTTGATTCCACAGACATTACCGCACGATCGCTGGTGAAAAATTGAGTTGCCATGTTTCTGATGGCACATCAGTGAAAACGGCTAATTAAAAAAAAAAAGTGTTGTTTGCTTTAAATCAGCTTCCTACCGTTAAGAAAATTATCCTTGTTAGATTAAATCAGACATGAGCTCTCATGTAATTTCTCTAGTTTTATGTCCTACTGAATGACAATCATGAAACTGATCAGTCATGTCCTGTTCAGGAAGTGGCACATCAAAGAAGCTGGCCAAGAGGAACGCGGCTGCTAAGATGCTGTCACGTATACATGATGTACCAGTGGACCTGAGGAGCAGCCATGAGGCTGACACTGAAGATGACACGTTTAACATGGTGAGAGCAAAATGCACGTCAGCACAGTTAAATTGTGAAGAATCTGTACAGGAAAACAACATGCAAAATTATTTTTTTAAAATGTCATATTACGTTACCTTCGGTACCATTAACCCATCCTATACACAGCACATCGGGAGCAGAGTTGAATCAGGCAAAAGTAAAGGCTTTAGCTGCACATGGGACTCCCTGCGTAACTCGGCTGGGGAGAAGATTCTCCAGCTCCGCAGCCATCCTCTCGGTATGCCCTCTGACTCCAACTTCTGCTCTTTGCTGAGTGACCTGTCTGTGGAGCAGCGCTTTGATGTCAGTTACCTTGATTTAGGTGAGCTTACAATCTGCTGCTTTCTGTGATCTGCTGTTTGATATTGAAAATGAAAAAATGGCGCTTATTTGCTGAGAGCACAGAAAGGTCAATCCCTTGAGCTCCGGGAGCTCAAAAGGTAGCCGAAGTGTCTCGCTGCTGTACTGTTTGCCTCACATAAGAACTGGACTCCTGTCGGTCATGGAGCTGCTCCCCGATCTTCTCCAGTCAGACACTGGCAGGAACTGTTTGTACAGTTCAGAATTTTTTTGTTATCATTGTTTGATGTTTTATCCTCTTTATCCATTTTTAATTGTTTGATAATGGGCACTGTTGTTCCTATAGAAACAAACATCATTTACATAAAGAGGAGGGACTTAGCTGAAGTGTAGCTGTTCAGATATGTGACAATAAGGTATATATATATTTATTATATTTGATATTTGGAACACTTCTCCCATAACATGGAATATTACTTAGGTTTGTCCTTCATCCAAAAAGTTGGTCTTTTTCACACGTCTTTGTTTTGTACAGACTGGAATCCACTCAGATAGGGACCGATGTCACCACATGCCAGAAGACTGGCAAACTCCACAAAAACCTAATTATATATATTTCTTGCTTTGGAAATAATCTTTCCAGGTTAAGGTGGTCAGTTGCTGTTTAAAGGGCTGCTTTAATCTGTCCAGTGTAGGAATATATTCAAGAAGGATGGAATATTTCTGTGTGTGCAAATGCGCCCTCTAATATTTTTGACTCCTGCCTCTACATCAACAGAAATGATTTTGTTTTGTCTTTGTTTCAGAAGAGCGCAGTCTCAGCGGGCTTTGTCAGTGTCTGGTTGAACTGTCCACACAGCCAATCACTGTGTGCCACGGCTTTGCTCCAAACGTGGACGCTGCCCGGGCCAGTGCTGCTCACAATGCACTGCAGTACCTCAAAATCATGGCAGGAGGGAAATGACGGGCCTCGCTGGTTTCCTCCTCCCTGACCCCAACTCCAAACGACACATTGCCATTATACATTACCTCTTTGGACAGGAGAGGGATTTTGTGATTAATCCAAAAAAAAAACATGAATTACCTCAGATTGGAAAATGGACACTTTATCTGCACTGAAATTAACATGAATTCTTTTTTACTCCCACTGATGTCCGATTAGGTGCCAGTGAAGATTTAGTTGCCTAAGAACTCATGAATTTATCACAGATTGTTTTGGAGTGCTTTTTTTAGAAAGAAAAAAACAAAACATTTTTACATTTCGGACCCTGGTCCTGTGTGGTATTTTTTCTTAATTGTAATGTTTAAAAGGTATATATGCGGAATTATGCACGGTGCTATTTCAGTGAATTTATTGTCCCAAAAAAAAAAAAACGAAACCCATTCTGTTGCAGCAAAGAAGCGTGATGCTCAGAGCGGGTTGTTGTAGAAATAGGGTCACCATTTATCGGTGTTTTTTTGTTTGTTTGTTTTTATCCATTGGAATCCATGTAAAAATGAATTAAAACAAACTCCAAATTTCCTTTTGTGGAAAGACATTGCTAAATAAATTAATTATTTCTTAACTATTTAACAAATGACCTTGGATGAGTCTTTACAGCGAAACATTTGCTTTTCCAGATGCTCAAACTTCACTGTCATGTTCTTACTGTGCAGCCATGTTTGGGAATATTGATTAGTTGTAAATATTTTTTAAGTGAATAGTCCTTGTCAAGTCTCACTGTCATTACAATTGCACACTCACCTCCACTGTTCTGTTTGGGCTTGCGGGTTTTGCATTAGGAGCATTTTATCTTTCATCTGTTCGAACAAAGATAGAATTATGACTGAGCTGAACCAGGAAGAGACACAGTGCATCTTTAGGAGGAAACTTAGTTTTGCTCAAACTGTCAAGTATCTGTAAACTTGCATATAGCAGACCAGGCAATTAAAGCTATCACATGTTGACATGTGGAGTTTAATAAGTACCTCAATAATTATTTTTCTGTGCAATGGCCGACAGACCTGCGTTTTCAAGATTATTCTTTATGTTTGTTTGATTGTGACTATTTAGAAATGACAACAACTTTCCAGAATCTACTACAAAAAAAACAAAACTTAAAATAAGCAGTATTAATAAAGTTTGAAATAAGGGTTTAGACTCTGTTTGTTAGACTCTGTTCGTGAGTCTAAAAAACCTGTTTCTGTCCTGCAGGCTTAACACGCTTCTTTGCATCACACTTCTGTGGGATGTGACAGCAATCTGGTTCCAAGAAAGGCAGCTCTGCATAAGGTTTTTAGTTGTTTTTTTCTTCTGATTACTAAAATGAGGAAGTGTTTCATTTAACTTTGGGTGCTGCCACTTTTGATGTGAATGCTGACATAAAATTTGTGAGACCACTTTGTGCTGACAGACAAAACTGTTGGACAAAAAGAAATGTAAACGAAATATGAACTCCACAGGAAACTGCTGCCATTTCAAATGAAACATTTTTGTAAGTATTACTGTTGTGCATCACCTTAATAAAGTCCATCTTTTTAAGGTGTAGTCCACCCAGCATTGCTTCAAAATGTTTACTTATTCACAATATTATATGTTAGATAAAAGCACTTATCACCATACATAAAAAGCTTCTACAGATTTTATCTCCTGAAAACTTCCCATTTTAAGAGGTTTGACTCACTTGGTGATTTGTAAGTATTAAGTCTGAGCTGGGATCCCCTTTCGAAACCATTACCTATACAAAGAGTTAAAATTTTCTCAGATATTGCTGTCCACATTGGTTTCGCTGTTTTTCCAGGATCTAGTGTGTCTGTCTGCGGAGGGGCTGACTTCTTCGTCTGCGTAGCCGCTGCTGTCAGACTGCATGCTGTCAACCCGAGCCACTTCACCTATACGACACACACACACACACACACACACACAGTCAGTCCTTCTCCACGTGCTGCAGACGACAGAATGCATGCAGCTGCAGTCTGACCTGAATTGGCACAGTAGTGATGCATAAACCTAGGCAGAGACCTGTATATCTGTCAGAGAACTCCTCTATGGAGTTCACCTTACATCTGTTTTTAAGACCGTCTAAAACATTGACTCATTTCTGACTTTAAATTTTACAGTTTGTTCAAAGTGATCTGATGGATGAAATTCCCTCCAAGTTTAAGCAGGGGTGGCTGGCATGCTGCTAACGCTCTTCTATTCACACATTTCAAATGGTTTTGACGATGCTTGCTGTAATTCTCTGTCAACACACAGAGCACTTGAGACCAAAATACAGTATGCCTCTGTGGAATGCGGCTACTGAAAACACAAACACTATCACAAATGTTGGCATTCTTTACCTCTGTTTTGATGCTTTTTTGAAAGTGGAGAGCTGGCTGTCCTTGTAGCTTCTGACTGTCCAAAGTCTTCCTCTCCTGCACTGTGCAGCTGTAGAGACATGTAGAGTTTATTTTACATACTGTATGTCTGTTCTAACACTTCCACTTAGGGCACAATATCAGGAGGATAACACGTTATTTGATCATTAAGGTCACATCGGACTGATGCGATCATGGAAAAGACCCATCATATAAACCTGTTTACAGACACCCAGCTTCAGTAATTGCTTCTTCTTTGAGTCCATGACTTGCAAACATGTCATGCTCCAGAAAATGGCCAAATAACATTTAAGAAAACACAATGACCAAATTCTCAACCAAGTAAAAGAGAACACAAAAACAAACAGATATCCTTATTTTCCACAGAGTGAAGAGCCGTCTTATCCCTTCATCACCTTTTCAGATCTCTTTTTCTTTTTTTCCGTGAACCCACCCTCTCTCATCCATCCATTCTTATGAACACCTCATCCTTTACAATAACTCTACCCCATCATATGTTCTCTTCAGTCAATCACCATTGAATAAATTCACTTTAAACTGAAAAAAGCAGCATAGTAATTTATCATTGCCTTTCAGTCACTCAGTCCCATCAACTCACTCGCAACACATTTCCACTGTTATCATTCAACTTTTGTTCATCATTATCGTATTTTCTGAACAAAAACTTCACTTAGGCTTAAACCTAACGCCTGCTCTAAATGTGGAGACCTGCAAGTGCAACACTTTACCTCCTCCAGCTCGAATGAGTTAACCTGCTGACGGTTGGCAGGGATGTGGGCCAGGCTAGGATGTGTCATTGGATTCAGGTACTGTCCGTTCCCCTTTTTAAATGACCCCTCACACTCCCGCACAGGTGAAGCTTGGCTGGAGTCTGCTGCGCTCATGGAAGACCCGTCCTCCCCTTCCAGGCCGGTCACTGTGATGCAGTAATGAGAAGAACTGCTTTCGGGCTCGGGCGCAGTAAATGATCCGGTTGCTGCCGCTTGCGGGCCCTCTCCTGTGGAGGAAACGTCCTCCTTGGGCCCAGAAATGAGGATTTGCGTGCATTGTTTCTGTGATGCGAAGCATGATTTTTCTATGCTTTCTGCCACAGAGCAGATTTCCGAGCTGTTTGTATCGTGCTTGTTTAGACAGAAGAAAGGGGCCTGGTGTACACTCTCGACTATTTGCGGGCAGATTCGATCGTAGGTAACCATGGCAACAGGATTTGGCTCGGCTGTCTTTGTGTCTCTTTGAGTCGAACGTGGGGCTGACTCCAGCTGATGGGAGCGCAACGGATCCTCTGTGTCCACCACAGTATCTCCTGATAATGATGACGTTAGAGACGTTCTTACACTGTTGCCGTCAAGATTCGTTCCTCTGGCACTGGGTTCCCCAATACAACCACTATCAGACTGTTTTTCGTCCTTCAGCTTCCTCTGGCCGGCCTTATCTCCGCTCCGATGGACATCTGAGCTCGCCCCAGTCTGCTGCGTTTGCTCCATTTGCTCACCGCCTGCGATCAGCCTGACGTCCACATCTGAATTACTCCTTGCATGTCCTCCTAAATCCAACTTCTTTTTAGGCCCCGTATTAACTTTCAGGACAATATCCACAACGTCAGGAAGACTGGATCTTTTCCTGGGAGAGGCCTGCGGAGAGGTGGAGTCCGACCCACGAGGAGAGCCGGTGTAGAGACACATCTTGTTGACGGTGTCCTTCAGCCTCTCCACTGGAGAGCGCGGCTCGCTGCGAATGCTGGTCCTGAACCGCTCTATCTTCTCCAGAGGAGAGGAGAAATTAAACTCTGGGGTGGCCAGTTTCTGCAAAGGAGTGCGCGACACGTGGGAGTAGAGGGAATAGAAAGCGTTGGCCATGGCTGTGAGGACTTGCACTTGTCTGAATCGACCTGTCAAGAAAATATGAAAACAGGATCATTTCACATCTTTGAGTCCTTATTTTCACTGACTGCAGTTGCTTACCCACTACCTTTTAGCCTGAATACTAAAGTTTTCATTGGGGGTATACGATCGGCATGGGATTTCTTAATATCTGTCAGCGTAAATGTAATAATGGGTCTGCACCATAGTTGGATCCCACGTTTTATTTACAGTGAGTCTGCACGTATACATATCACTAAAGAATAGTTTGTCCATTAATTGGTTGACATCTAATGTGTCAGTGTTGCCTGTTGTGTCATTTCCTAGAATAAAAAAGTGGATGAATTTATTCTATTTTAATCAGTCAATTTTGACTGTTGTATAAGTACTTATGATTTAGTAAAGATCTACACAGTCAAAGTTGTACGGAGAAGTGTAATAGCAAATAAGTATTACTAGCAAGAGAGAGGCTGGGGTCTTCCTCTCGAATCCGTCGTAGCTGTGAATCCAGAAAGAGGCGGAAGTTGATGCCCTGTGCCTGAGAAGGGAAGGTGAAGAAGCGAGGAGGGATGCGCACAGTGACCTGTGGCTCTTCACATCCGAAACCCAGTTCATATAGCGTGTCCTCTGCATTCTCCGAATACAGCTCCAGGACCTCTGACACACTAAAGGAGGACATTAAATACAATGCACACATTTGTAAAAGCTGTAACCAGTGATGTCAAATGTGAACAGTGAATAAGGAGGCCAATGGAACAGAACGGACATGCTGAATATACCTGGGAAAATGAATATAAATATACTGATTTAAGAGTCCCGCAACCCCATTAGGGAAGAAGCGGTAACGATAATGGATGGATGGATGGATTTAAGAAGCCTCACCTTGTTTTCCAGGTTGAGGAGGAGAGGCAGCTGGAGGCCAAACTGTGGCCCAGGTGAAGTGATGGTAGACGGAGTCCCTGACGGGGGGTGCTACACACAGGACAAGTGAAAAAAGCTGTCATGCGTATAACCTTCAAATCAGGTGAGAAAGGAAACTCATCACTCTGTGTTTGGCTCACATCATCAAAACCATCCTCAGATAAACACAACTGTAGCTTAGTGGAACAGTGACTATGAAAATAATTTGATCTCTTTATTTTGTGTAAAGGAGACGATTAACAACCGACCTGCTGTTGAGCCTGCTGCGTTGCGTTTTGAAGGAGGGATTCCGTCCCAGGCTTTGTGTTCATTGTCCAGAAGCAAAATAACCATAACGTCAGACATTTCATTTCAGGCCGTTAAGATTTATTCAGTCAGTCCAAAAGGTTGTGTGTCTTGTGCAAAAAAAGTCTGCTTGGAATAAGTAGGTAACAAATGAGCATCTGCAACTCCTCATTTGAAAAGATGTGAAGGACCTAAATTTTGATCAGAAGTTTCAGATTCCCTAGGTCAGAATCAGAAATCTCAAATTTTTCTAATTTCTCTGTTTTGAGTAATCATCTTGTGATTGTAAAAAGCTCGTAAGGGTCAGCACAGTAGGCGTGTTCATATATGTATCAGGTAAGAATATTTAGCAGTCGAAGAGTAAAATACATTTCTTGATTCTTGTTTTATGTTGTTTCATTGGTAATGTGAAAACAGTTCATCATAGCAAATACTCACCCAGCTTTAGGTATAATTCCTTCACTGTTTAAAGCAGAAGCTGGAACCAAAAGGACAAAAAGTTTCAGAACTAAATAGATGTATGTCCGTTCATGTTTTGAATACAGTATGTCTTTATGCACCAGCATTTTGGAGCCATGCAACACCAGGGTCATTCGCATTCGGTTGAATTCATGCTGATTCATGTTTATGAAAAATAGACTGATAGAGAGAGTGTTGTGTTACAGATATTTTCATACCACAAACTTCACCTCTATCCTAACCTTCATTTTTGTTTGTTTTTCTTTTACAAATTACCATGAAAATTTGCATCAAGATGCCTCTGTGTGATAATCTAGTTGGGCGAACTGTTCACTTAGCAAGTTCTCATAACATAACTGATCTTTCAAATACAGTGGAGAGAAATACAACACAAAACCTTCACTGGTCACCATCTGTCACAACTGTCACACTTACAGTTGTGACTTTTAAATGGTGACACTGCAGTTACAACACACTAAATACTAAACACTGAGAAGAGAGATTAATTAGAACTTCATTTACACAATTAACAATTAATATTAACACAAATCTAAAGTTAAACATATCTCCTTACATGTGCAATGTTCTGCCTGCTCATCGATGTGCAAATATCTAAATAGATAATATTGGCTCATGAAAATGCCTCATTATGCATGTGTGGGAAAATAAATATGAAGATTACATTGAAAGAAATGATCAAACTTTGCATACGGTTGTGCGTTTGTGTGTGCATGTGCCGTGTGTGCTGTATTTGTCAGCTCACCATCAGCTCCGAGACTCAGGTCATCAGCAAAGTTGTTGGCTTGTAGCACAGATTCTGAAAAAAATATATATAATTAGCTATCTAAATACATCAATACTTTTGTGAATATTAACACGTTGTGTACATTTCCTGTGACAAATGTAAATTAGGTATGAATATCGTGTTTGTATCTTCTTATATTCCACTGAAATGTGTGACTTTGTTCTCCAGGAGTTATCAAGTTTAAATAACAATATACTGTTAGAGGCCTGAGAGTTAAGTTGAAAAGAACATCTTTCTAAACTAGCAATAAAGGTAAATATTATGAAAACAAAATATAGAACATTTATTACTCTTCAGAAGACATTCCTCATACTTATGAGGTCAGATTGATACATTTTAAACAACATTTCCAATAGACAGTTTACTACACTGCAGTGTTAGTAAATAACTCTCTACAGACTTGATTTTTACTTTCTTCATCATTGGTATTTTGATGCTGATATGTGACAGTAGCACAATCATTGTGTTGGCTTATACTCACCCAAACTGAGCTGACCACTGTTCTTCGAGTAGGCGTCTGACCTGTAACACATATCTCAATTTTTATAACTTAAATACAGTCTATACAATTTGCATTATTCTATCAAATATGCGACTGTGTTTGCATGGCCGGTTTCATCTGGAAAATGATAGCAGGCAAGTTACAGTACGAGCTTGTGATACCTTCTAATCGGCTTTTCACAGGCTGTTAAAAGTTTATCAACTTCCTCCTAGAAATGGGGACGTTCATGGTTACACCTCTAAACCCATACTGTCATGTTAGTGTTGACTACTCCTTTTACTGCTCCTACTCTTTCTGAGTATTATGAAGATGCCGTGATGTAGCACTTCAATAATTATCACGATGGCAGCATCTTAGTCAGTGACTGGCAATATGAGAAATAAGAAATATGGCTTTATAATGAGTTTCAATATCTGAAAAAAGTTCTCTGTCATCTCCTACTATTGTGATGGCTCAACAGATTTTGAGAAAATAAAAGAGCTAAATAAGCCTTTCTTAATCGACAGCCAACTTCTACATCGTGATGTTTTTTCTTCTAAAAAGTCATGGCGAGGCAGGTGTCACCACAAACAGAACACATGAGAACAAACATTGTCAACTTTTCAACAAAAGCTCAGATCAGTGTGCTTAGCTTGTGGCTTCAAAATCTTTTGTTTCCACTATGGAAAAGTAAGTATGCATCATCTCAGGCTAATACGGTGAACAACAGCACTGTGGCCACCTTGCAGCACCTTCTTCCTGTAACAGCTGACTTCAGAGTTTCCACTCTGCCTGTTATTTGTTATCTAGTTTCCAGTGAATTACACCTAGTCCTTCAGCACCTGAGAGACTAAGCACTCAGATAATGTTATCTTGTAACAAAAGCAAGATGGCTCACCCACAACCAAGGAGCCAGCTCTCAATCTTTCCTGTGAAGCATCCTGTGGAAATGAAAACACTTGAATAAACCTGATGTTAAAAGAAAAACACGATTCTGAAGAAAACATTGATCACAATAAAGCACTTAGTTATTTGATTATATACTTAAGTGTATCTTTGTAAAGTAAGACATGTCAGGCCAGAGAAACAGAGCAGAAAAAAGAAACGAAAGTTCTATAAACTGATCATGTCTGTCTTCAAACAGATGTGTGATAGGATAGGGGAAAATGAGAAGGCCCTGACTTTGCCCTCACCGTCAGAAAACACATCGTCATCTGCTATGGAGGCAGACGGGAGGCTGCACAGCGGCCCGTCGGGCTCCTCCACAGTGGGCCACTGCCGGCTGCTGTTGATCCAGGCGCGCCGCCTCACTGTGGAGGACGAGCTCTCCATGGCTTCGGTCACCGGTCAGCCGGGAAGCATGCTGCGGCTGACCCTACCAAGACACAGTCACAAAGCCGGACATCTCAGGCAACTTCATTCTTTCTTTACATTACAGGCCGCTTACAATGTTATGCTGTCTTATATTGTATTATTTTTATTCTATTCTATTTTAAGGTGGCAAATGATTGCCCACAGTCATAAACACTGAGGGCTCCTTTCAGCTGAATTTACCCAATTGAACCGAATCTTCAAATATTAGCCCATAATATGACTCCTATCTGCTCTTCGCTTGTATAAGGTGCTATACCTCCACACTGCCTTTGACCTAATGTTGTGTCTTATCAATTTGAATAATCAACCGTGTTAATATCACTTCATTGTTGAATACAGTTGGTGTATATACCATTACAAAATGTTGTACCACACCAAACCGAGGGTTGATTAAAAAGCCAGAAGTATGTGCTATCATGTGATGACGCCATCATCACACATCCAATGAATACAATATACATACATACAATGAATAGTTTTAACAGCTCACTTAATCAAATCAGCATGATGGTGCATATTGGACAGCAATAGAGAGCAGAAACAGAGCCTGATAAATCCAGATCCTTTCCTATTAAAACCCTAAATGTGCAAACAGTCAATACCTAATTTAATCAAATGGGTTACATCAGCACAAATAAGTTGAGGTTAGATTTTCACAACGTTAAAGCAAATACACTATTGAGGATACGTCTAACAATGAATGCTGACTGTGATTAGAAACAAAACACCTGATCCAAATGGCCGAAAGATTCTATTAAGTTTTGTGTTGGAGCCTAAGGCTTTTAGAGAGGCATGTGGATCTAAAACACGTTTGGTTCATTAGGGATGCTGGTTATCTTTAAACACGTTCTGGCACAAAATAGCCCAATCTGGGCGCGAACGAAAAATAGTTTTACCTTTATCGAACAGGCAGGTCTTTGCGCACAGACCGAGGCTGGTCTCGGAGTATCACTTCTGTGTCTGCGGCGCTCTTTTCTCTCTCGTTTCCTGTTCGAGCTGAGGCATCAGAAAACTTCGTTCGCAGGGTTTATCGACGGAGGAGATCGCGATTAGGGGTTTCTGTCGATCTGCGCTGAAACTCCGGAGCGTCTTGCATCGCACGAAGGGATCGCCGCGCCTGGAGGAAGTGACTTTGCATATCATCTGAAATACAAAAGTTATCAGCGTAGGACGCAGCTGCGACACATCCTGCAGAGGCAAAACGCAGCCTGCAACAGGTTGCTGGAAATGTCAACTGTAAAACTCACTCTCAGCCACACAGGGAGAGCAGCAAGGCAGTTGTCATTCAGCCCTTACTGAAACTTCATCCCCCCCCACCACCACACACACAGGTTGTTGTTGGGCTCTGGAATTACAATGTGTTTATGAAAGGGAAAAAAGGTTAGAGCAAATTAGATTTCCCCTTTTCAATGATCAAATAGCTTTGAAAAAATCTGACATAAATGATGTGATATATAATCCTTTTTGTTGGGTCATGACTTCTGTAAACCTTTCTTAATCAGTTTTTGATTGTCACTTGACTTTCCAGTATCACCTGCAAATTTCTGTCACTGGCAAGTAGTAGAGCTATTATATGGGTATTTAGGAGGAATCATTCATTAGCTACTTAACGGTAAATACTGCCATTTAGTTAACCCCCTTTCAAAGGTAGCCAGTAATGTGATTTACAAACCACAAAAAGGGCGGCCGATAGGGATTCCCAATACCTCTCTAGGCTGTGGGGGCCTTTAGGTCTCTTAGTCCTGGCCTATTTGCCAAGCCAAATATATGCTAATTTATGACGTATCACAAGTATAAAGTGTCAGCTAACATTAAAAACCTTGTTGCACAACAATTAATTATTGATTTGAAGCATTTTATTTCACTGAAACAATGTGAAGATATGTAATTTGAGAAAAGAAATGTACGTTTTTTTAAAGCCATCTACAAATATAGTATCTAAAGTATACACATGTATACTTTTCTGTTAATCGAAGTTGTCTCAGCAAGGCCTGCCTGTCTTAGGCTTGGGGATTTATAGACTTTGTTTGGAAAACTGATAAACCAAGGAATTATGACACATTATAGATTAAACAATAAAATGGGGACAAAATGTCTCACTTTAGTGAGATAGTAAAAGTGAATTTGTTATCATTTACATGAAGTCACTGCAAAAGACCAATTTGATAATATATATTTATGGAGATACTCATTAAAACAAGACTGGATGGTAGTTTAATTCAATCAGGCCATTAGAGTGTTGTTGTTTACGGTGACAACCCTGTGTGGAGAAATGTCAGACTGGACTGCTTCTTGCAGGCCTGGCCTGAGGATGGACTCCACCCTCTAGCTGGCCTGTTTACACGGGCACATGTGCAGCTTCATTGACAGTCCCCTAACAAATCCCTGTGATAAAAGCCCTCCCACATTATAGCCATTTTCCACTCCCAGTGCGGTTGCAGCCAGTGTGAAAGTGTCATTTGGGGGTTCATCTCCTCCACCCTGGCTGGCTCCTCCCGCCTCCCAACAGTTTAGCAACCCACCGACCGCCACAAGGGAGTGGCCAGCAGCCACGGAGGCAAGACTAAAATACTCAGTCCGCCCTCTTTCCTACCCTACCTCCTTGTTCAAAGCAAGACATAAGCCTTGGCATTATTTCTCTTTCGAGTGATAAACTCATCTTCAAGATTATGGGAAGGCAATTATCAGTATGTACGTGGCCTACAAACCGATGGCGCCATTTATGCGGAAAACAGATAACCTAACGTCAATCATACTCAGAAGTGCAATCTACAATGCTTGATCCCGCCCAACAAGTCCGCGCTTGGACAAATTCCATTGGCTGATTGAAACTCCTTGACAGAATCGAGCTTTACTATTGGATACAAAGAGCAATCCTTCACAAGTAGCTCTTGAAGGGGGGCGCTTCTTTTATATACTGGAACATCCAATTACATCGTTTTTAGTAAAGTAAACGAGTGCAAGCGTTGCACGTCTACCTACAGTATTTAAATTAAATATTTCAGTAAGTTAAAACTCGATTCAACTAGAAAAAGGCCTACATAATTTGCAATCGAAACACAAGGTTTGGTTTCATTGTGATCTAGCTGAAATGACTCTTTATCCATCAATTCACATAGCTAAAAGGCCACACAGGGATATAAATTGAACGCACCCTTCCTCCTTCTTGAAAGGGAGGGTAACGTCAAGTTTGTGTGAAGTTGTGAAAAGTTGTCAAGCCGAAAAAAGAGCAAAGAAACTCCTCCCGTCTTCAAATTATGAGCAGTAAGTGAACTTTTAAAACTCGTTGGCATGTGGTGAGAATACCTTTGACTCAACAGTAAGAAATAGTAACAAAATAGAACGATTAAGTTTTGTCAAGTGTCGTAAAAATGGTACTGTATTGTGACCGTACTGCCGTCTGGAGCAGTTTAAAAGAGACCAACTGACGTTACTTCAGCGCTACTTGTTGGTACTTAGCAAACAACATTTTGCCAAATAACTAAGGTTCCTTATATTTTAACTGACACTTCTTCTTGCCGAGTTATTCACTTTTATCCCTGTACAGTACCACAGATAACCAATTCTGTTTTTATGGTGCAGTTGGATCTATGTGCCACCATAGCTAGTGTTTAGCATTTCCCTGAACATTACTTGTAGTGTGTTTAAGTTAGCTTAGCTAACACGTTAGTTGGCCCAGTGAGTTGTTGGACTTGAATTGCATCTTTTGTAAGTATCGTTGCGCAGCTACTCCAGAAACCAAATGTGTTTATTTTTAAATTTGGTATTCTTTTCACGATGAAGATGATCCTTTGCTGTTATAAAAAGTTAGTGATCTTACAACTCTTGTTCCGCAGATCAACAGCAGGGTGAAATGGCCGCTGTGGAGAGCGGTGGAGGATACAGTCAAAAGAGAAACACAAACTCACAAGTAGGTTAACCAGTAAGCATTTGATTGTTGGACCGATCAAATGGCTTTTTGTTTATTGTTGAATTGACTGCGTGGTCCGTCCGTGTTCGGACCAGTGCTGGTTGTTGATTTTCTCCCCAGAGCACATGTCACTGGGGTGGGGAATGGGCAGGTAAATTTCGCCCACACGGGGTGTTCCCGTCAAACCCCGGCGTTAAATGTTCGTTTCGCTCGGCCCATTTGGCTGGCCTCGGAGGGGGTGGCTAGAGGAGTGTGGTAGTTTATAGGGCAAAATAAAGTGTGGGAGGGAGATGGGTGGGTTTGGGGGGAGGGGAAGACGAGCCCGCCGCTGCTCCTGAAAAGTCTGGTCCCTCCCATACTCCCCTCACCACCAGCACCACATGTCTCCTGAAGCCCACTCCCCTAAGTGCAGCTTTGAGAGTTAGCACAATAGATAAACAGATAAAACGTCTTTGCTGCTGTCCTACGTTTTAAGATTAGGATTTACTCAGCAAACCACATGTTTATGGCTTTAATTAGATTGAAATCTCATGACTTTGAATATATTTTAAAGGCACACTGCTCTTTATCTTTTAAAACCATTCATGGAACTTGTTTTTTTCCAGTTGTGTTAAATTGGTTCCTATGTGATCGTAGCTGCTATAGATGTAGCTGTAAATATTATTTTGTACTTAAGCATATTGCTTTAAGTTGACTAGAAAAATGTTACATATCTGTAAAATGATGTTTTTCACTACCTGACCCACACATGGGCAGGATATGCACTGCCTGGTCAAACAGTCTTTTTCTGCATTCAATTGATTTGATGTTGCTTCAGTTTTTCATATTTATACTCAAACAACATTATGCGGCCATAACCAGCAGACTACCCGAGTTTAATGAGGAACCAACTTATGTAATCAGGATTTCTTTTTTAATTCACTGATAGATTCCAAGATGACATTTTCAGGTTAATTGGGTTCATATTGTGAAAGAGACATAATTTTACACATGGATTAGCTACAAGAGAATCCAGATCATAACCTCAGTGAGAATCTTTGGAATGTGCTGGAGATTACTTAATGCAACACTCTGAGACACAGTCATCAGTTTAAGATTGTGAAAAAAAATCAGTTAAACTGGGCAGAAATGTATTTTGTGACATTTCATAAGCTGTTCAATGTTTGCTTTACCAAAGGTTTTTCTCCCAAAGTATTGGTCTGATTAATTCTTTTTATTTAAAAAATATTTTCTTTTTTTAAATCAGGCACTTGAATAGCACTTAAACTATGCAGTTGCCTCTCTTTTATGTTTTTTATTTTTCTCTGTAGGACTCACAGCAGCCATCACCTCTTGCCTTGTTGGCAGCCACATGCAGTCGAATTGACACCCCTGGAGAAAACGATTCCCAAGCAGACCAGCAGCAAAGTCAGCAGCAACAGCTTGAACTAAATCAGGGTGTTTTTACCTCCAGTGCCAATGGCTGGCAGGTTATCCCTGTCAGCATGCTACCATCTTCACCAACCTCAGGCTCTAACACTGTTACCACAGACTCCTCAGGCGTGATGACAGGAGGAGACGCCAGCAAGAGCAGGCAGGTGCTGTCACCATCAACTGCTGCCACCAGCGCTCACAGCCAGCAGCAACAGCAATATGTAGTAGCTCAGGCTCCATCAATGCCAGGCCAACAGGTGCTCACCACTCTTTCAGGGGTAATGCCTAACATCCAGTACCAGGTTATACCACAGTTTCAGACAGTTGACGGCCAGCCGCTGCACTTTGCACATGCTCAGCAGGACTCTGGTCTATCTACCGCAGCTGGAGCAGGGCAGCAGTTTCAGATAGTGTCTTCTCCTAATGGTCAGCAAATCATAGCGGCAACAAACAGAGCTGGAGCAGCCGGAAACATTATAACCATGCCGGGTGTGCTTCAGGGAGCCATCCCCATACAGAATATTAGCTTAGGCAATGGTATGTTACAAAACCAGCCCCAGTTCTTGGCTAACATGCCAGTTTCTCTGAATGGAAACATCACTTTGTTGCCTGTCAGTATGGGTGCTACAGGAGGAGATGGAAGTGGTGGAGGAGATGCAGGGGGCAACCAACTCAACCAGCAGCAATCCCAGCAGCCTGTGTCTTCTACCAGCAGTGCAGGTTACATGACAAGTGTATCCACTGCCACCACACAGACCTCCTCTTCTTATGGCATTACCCAAACACAGAAGAGTAATGGGTCGATGACAGCAACCTTCCAGCAGAACCCAGCAACTTCTCTCGGTGTTCCAATTCAGCCAGACAACAGAGACGGGCAGCAGCCTCAGCAAATTCTTATCCAGCCCCAGCAGATTATTCAAGGTGGAGCCCCTCTGCAGACCATCCAGGCTGGCACTGTTACAACAGCAAGTGGTCAAGTTTTTGCTGCTCCAACTCTCAGCCAGGAAGGGCTTCAAAATCTTCAAATTATGCCAAATGCTGGGCCCATCCTCCTGCGCACTGTGGGCCCCAATGGCCAAGTTAGCTTTCAGACCATTCAAATCCAGAGTCCAGCCGGTACCCAAATCACACTGGCCCCAGTTCAGTCTCTACCCCAGCTTGGCCAGGCACAGGGAACTGCTGGTGGGGGAGCAGTACCTGTCAACACGATGCAGATTCCAGGCATTCAAACCATAAATCTCAACACTCTTGGAAGCACCGGGCTGCAGATGCATCATCTGCAGGGAGTTCCCATTACTATTGCCAGTACATCAGGTGAGTTAGCATCTGGACATTTAAGCTTAATTTGTCTGATTTGTAATTATATTCTGCAAATTAAATGCATTTATTTGTAACTGTTAGTGAAATAATTATTTTTCAAAATTGGGTCAGCATTGAGGATGTGCTTAGCCACCCCTGGTCAGATATTATAACGCAAGCTGTTTGATTTAATTTTCTCTCCCTTGTAAGTGTTCAATTCCTGTTGAACCTGTTCAGCAGGCTGAGTGTTTTCCTGAACACTGAACTGCACTGATCTGTTCATTTTCATTTCCTCGACTGTTGTGTTATGGTGGCTCTGCATCCCTTCTGCTCACATTACACCACAGTTTCAGGTTTGACGCAACTTGTGTATTGCAGCAGGGGTGTAACTTCACCCCTCCAATCATTTAGAGGTCTTTATCATGTCCAAACCCCCTTTAATTTGACCACTAGCCAGTTTGGTTTGTAGTCTACATTTTCCAAAAATCTAACATTTGCAACAAACTTCTGAGTCTTCTGGCATTTATTATGAAATCAGGTGTTTCCCATCAGCTACTTTTTGGGGCAACTTCGTCTGAACTACGGCATTGTTTATTAGCTGAGTTTTCTATTCCTGTGTTAGAACTGACAATCACTGACATTCACAGTGGTTGAGACAAAATGACTCAGGCCAATTATCATTAGATCATATATTTTATTTGAATGTCATGATGGTATTTGTAGAGTAAAACTTTTGTTAACACCCTGCACTTGATAATGCTGTCTGAGATGTCATCAACTGAAGAGATGTAAAAAGAAATTGGGGGAAATTCTCAATTTGTTAGTAGATGAAAAACAAATAGTTTTCTGAGCATACAGTTAAACATTAAAAGTGTTAGTCAAGCTGTGGTTAATCAAAGCTCTGATTAAGCGCACACTGCATGCTACATGCTACATGAGAGTTTCTGGAGGAAAGATTGGTTAAACTCATGCCATGGGGAGATATATGTGAAATGCCAACAAATCAAAAAAATGATTGTGTGATCTTCTATGCTCCGCTGTCTGATGCTGTAATATTTTCCTCTCAATCCCAACAGGTGAGCAGACACTGCAGACAGGTGGAGAAAGTTTGGATGACAGTACAGCAATGGATGATGAGGATATAAGCCCCCAGCCACAGGGGCGGCGTAACCGGCGAGAAGCATGTACCTGCCCCTTCTGCAAGGATGGAGAGGCCCGGTATGTAGCCCTCCTAATACTGCCATCCAGTGTGCCATTCTCATCCTAATGTAGCGTTATTTTGATGTCTTAAGTGGATCAAAACCACCAAAATCCACAGTTTATCTTGAAGGACAAATATGTGGGAATTATTGGCATCTAGGGGTTAGGCCGCAGACTATGGCCATCAGATTGCAATAACTTAATCACACATCTATCTGACGGCCACCTGCAGGGCCAAGACCAACTGAACATGAAGCGGACCATAAAGCTGAAATGATAATCATACCAGCTGTATGAACTTTAGTCGGTTGTGAATTTCAATATTTCTTTTGTTCTCACACGTTCTCCAAGTCCTGCACGCTACTGCTCATTATCATTACTTCTTTGGTTTCTTTTTTTTATTGTATTTTTATCGCATCATGTAAATGGAACGGTCTGTCAAATTCTTGTTTGTGCTATTTCCATTCAACAGTGACCCAAACAAGAAGAAGCAGCACATTTGCCACATCAGCGGATGTGGGAAAATCTACGGCAAAACGTCCCACCTGCGGGCTCATCTTCGCTGGCACACGGGAGAACGTCCCTTTGTCTGCGGCTGGGCTTTCTGCGGCAAACGATTTACCCGCTCAGACGAGCTTCAGCGCCATAAAAGGACACACACAGGTATTTCATGTATTTATTTTAGCATTTTGTAAGGGATAACTTTTTGATTTAAAAGGATATCGAAGAGGAGTTTGTGTTTGCAGTGTAATGTAGACCTATTTCAAAATAGGGTTATGACATTTAAAAAAAAAAAAGATTTCTAGCTGCTTACCAAGTGCCCCTGTTCTAATGCATTCATATTTCTTCTGCCCTCTCCTGTTTTCAGGCGAGAAAAGGTTTGTCTGTCCCCACTGTCCCAAACGCTTCATGCGCAGCGACCACCTCTCAAAGCACATCAAGACCCATTTGAACAAGAAGGCAGTTGTAGTTGCCAACAGCAGCCCCACAGGTCCAGTTGAAGCTGCATCTCCGTCTGCAGGGGAAGCCGGCACAGAGGCCGTGTCAGCCAATGACCAGCACACCATTGTCACCATGGAAACCTTATCTGCAGAGAGCCTAGCTCGATTAGCCAGCAGTGGTATCAACATGATGCAGGTGGACCTTCACCAGATCAATGGCAGCAGCTACTAAATGCAGAGGAGGAAGATGGTGGGAATTGTATTTGGACATTTGTGGTTAAAAAGGGCAGGGTACTGCAGGAGCAGAACCCCTCAGATGCAACACAACAGACTCTAATTAATTGTAGAACTGAGGCGGGAATTTCATATCCATCTTGTATTTAGATACCTGTGGCATTTGAGGGTTGGAGGTGGAAGCTTTGAAAAAAAAATGTTAGGCTAGAGAAATCACTGTAAAATCCTGTTTCCCCTGAATGGAAATGGCATCACACTAACATTTGCCCCGCACAAATCCAGCTTTCCTTGCTCACATGTGGGATCGAAATAAACAACGCAGGTCAGCACACTTCATGTTGAATTCATTGTTAGTAAGAACTCGTTGAAACTTCTTCAGTGAAGAGATCTCACTTAGTCAGGCTCCTACTTTTTACGGGGCTGGAAGTTTTGCCACTCGTCCCTCTTCATGTGAGGAGTTTCCTCCCCAAACAGACAGAGCTGTGGTGTGCTAGCTGGCCTGCATGATCCTAAAAATGTAATTTTCTTTCTCAATAATCCTCCAAACCTTTAGCAGTAAATACTGATGTATCAGATTGCTATGGTTACATAAATGGTAGAACTGGATGTGTTTTACAAATGAGCATTTCCGGTATAATGGGAATTATGTTTATACAGCGTTACATGCTTACATGAGGTCACCGCTAGATGGGGTCAGAAGCACTAATCTGTGTGAGGATGTAGGTGTCAGGGCACTGAAATCCTGAGGATAACTCTAACCTCTTGTAAGTACAAACATTCAAGCCATTATGCTTTAATATCTGTGTGATAGCAAAGCATCTAGTGTTTTTCTTTTTTATGCCTGTGTGTATAATTTGTAAAGGCTATAGAAATTCTTAGCATAGTCAGGATCATCTTACATGATTGCAGGAAATTGCCTTTCAATTGTCTGAACCTGTAATGTACAATCAATCTTAATCTTGTTACTTTTATATACATATATATATATAAATTTGTAAACGTCAGAGCCTTCCTATCTTGGAACATGTTTCACAGTCCAGGTCTTCCAGTTCTTTTCTCCCCCTGCCTGTTGGTATACCTATCTTAATCAGTTTTTTTATATTTTTATTTTTCCTTTGGGGGAACTATTTGAGTCATTCATGGCCAGAGTGAACATTTTGCAATAATGTCTAGTGAGCGTGAATATAAAAGCTCAAACCAAAGGTTCATACATATTTTAAAGGAAAACTAGGAACCAACTTTGGTCGATAAACTTTCTAACACTTGTATTACTTGTACTAAAGTTATAACTGGAACAGATTCAGCTTGAGGCACAGGTTGGATTTATTTCCCTTTGTTGTCCAATTAAGCGAATTGAGAAGTGCAGTGACATGTGCTATCCATTACTTTTTTTTTGCTTTACAATTATGCTTTGAGAAACAATTGTAACCTGTGCAATGTTTGTGTAAAATCTTGAAAATTAAGTTCTTTGGACAACAAGTGCTCTTATTTCTTTGCTGAATTTTAAATGAGGGATTTTATATTGTGTTTATACAACTACTGCAAATGCCAAGAGCTGGATTAAAATGACATCTTTCAGTTCTGTGGAAGCCTGTGCTTCAAAGCTTACACACACACATGCACTGTAGTTTAGAAACAAATTTATTTGAAATGCAGGCATATGTTACATGGACTAAAAACAACACTCTCAACATCTTGAACAACTGCTCCCTAAAATCACATCTCCACATTCTCTTCACCCTTCAGGTTTCCACACAGACTGCAAACAGAGAAATTCATTTAGATATTTTTATGTCCACAAAACCAATTGGTTTATGTCTGAAGTTGCTCTACACTGATTTAATCAAACTGAATATCAATAAGCGGTACCCCACCTGTTGAGGTAGGAGTGAACATCAGAGAAACCGTGATACTGAGCCAGGGGGAACAGGATGCCCGTTGGGCAGCGGCCCTCACGCTGGCGGCAGAAACTGCAGTTACAAATGCCTCTGCATGGAGGGCACTTCCACTCCTGAAGAACAGTCCACAGGGGTGAAAGAGGAAAAGTGTATATAACACAGTTAAACATTTATAAATTTAGCAAACATTGAAAACAATACCGGAGATCTGTGCGTTTCCCATATTTAAATAGGAGCCTTTAGAGGTGCACTGAGGGGACTTAGTTTCTGGCTACCAGTAAAAGATGTGGGTCATCTAGCATCACAAAATGCCTCGATAAATAAAATGAAAGACTAGTATCAGGATTTTTGTTACCGTAAATACAGATACGGGGGGGGGCATGTCAAAGGGGTCTGGACAGTTCAACACAACAGTTATTTTGTTGAAAATGCTACTACACCTAAAGGTGCCAACAACTAGCAAACACAGAAGAGGTAAGAGCAGGGGTAATACAAGAAGCTCAGTTTGACAGTCCCCATGGAGAAGCATCAAAATACATGCGTAGCTGGAAAAGATAACATAACACTTGGGTGTTCAACCCACAATACAAGTGAGATGGAGCTTTCAAAAGACCACTTGTTTACGGCACTCCAACCCAAAACCCTATTGCTATACTGACAGCACAGCAGAGGGAGCCACATAGTGTGGTCCTGTATTCTCATTTAGTGTGTGAACATCTGAATAGGTGTAGAGAGTACTGGTGTTAAAGGTCTGACCGGATCGAGCAGCGCCTTCTTCACATCCTCCCCGTATCGGTTCCTCAGGCACGGCCCACAGAACTGACCGTGGATCCCCCGACAGTCCTCGCTGCGGCAGCACGTCTTGGTGTCCGTGGTTTTCTGCCGGCACTGATGGCAGGTGGAGCCCTGAGGAAAACAAAAGCACAACATCTCAGTAAGTCCGTTTATTTTTCAGACAATTCTATCCAAAGCAACTTACAAGTAAAGAACACACTGCGGGGATATATGTTTTTTTATAGTCTCGTCCTCTGTAGCGTTATTTCTGTGCATCCTTCTTCAGAAGGTGCACACTATCTTGTGATCTTATCAACTGGTGTTGATCAGTAGTCACCCAGGCTTTTCTGAAGGTCCTTTAAATCTCTTCATTGCAATCTAAACTAAGCCTAACAAAACTCGAGCCAAGCTGTGAACTCACTGTGACACTGTTGTACACTTTGTCTGTCATATTGTCCGCGACCAGCAGAAGCTCATCCTCTGTGATGTCCTCCACTGGACGGATTATGTGAGGCTTGCTCTGAGAAGGACGTGGGTTGCCACGACGCCGAGGAGAATGTCGTACCTGAAACCGAGAATGGGGATGTTGTTCTACTAAGCTGAAGGTTTTAAACACATATTGGCATCTTAATATAAAACATGTTGACTATGTAAAGTCCCAAAAAATAATTCTATACAACACAAAACTGTTTTCTCTGGAAATAACACTTGTTTCATCAAAATGTTGAATGATTTAAATATCTGTTATCAATTGAAAAGCGAGTCCTTTAGAAAAAGGTTTCAGCTAGTAAATAAATGACCTCCAGCAGCTCTTCCTCTAAGCTGAGCTCCACATTTTCCTCCAGAGGGGTTGAAGGATCCTTACTTCTGCCCATAGATCGGGTCTGTCTGCGAGATGCCCGATCAGGGTTCCTCCTGAATTCACCTCCAGTCGCACCAGAGCGTGGTGGTCGCTGCACACCAGAGACATTAGTTCAGTTAATTGCAGCACAAAAATAATGACAATTAAGTCAGAAATACATAGAATTTTGAAGGTAAAAAAAAAATAAAAAAAATAAAAAATCAATGAAAAGGGGATCACATACTTTTTACCCAAGCATTCTACTCACTGATTGTTTCCCTTTTGTTTTCTGTTTGCTTGATTGTTTTATCAGACCTCCAGCTCCTCCTGGTATTTTCTCCAGATCTGCCATGAGCTGAGCCAACTGCCACAAAGTGGAGGGTAAAAAGTAAAAAGGAATTAAATGGCAAACTTCATAAGTCACCGTTGATAGATGTGCCTGACTTGAAATTTCTTTTTTTTTTTTGTTCAGATTTAAGAAATTGAAGCCCTGAAATGGACAATCCCTCCAGATAGCTCCATGTATTTGCCACTAAATAACAAGTACTTCCACTGGACTGAAAGAATGATCACACTACAAAGCAGGGTTATTAGTGTTTTGGCCCCTTAGCCGTTTGTCACACAACACCTTAAACTTTCCGTTCCCTTTAAAACTCTGTTCAGGAGGAAATAAGTAGAGAAACAGTGCCCCTTTTGGTTAAATATACAAATATTTTGTCAGCCCGAAACATAAACTGTAACATCCCTGTGTGGCTATTTTTCTTAATACAAAAGGCGTTTATGAGTCACCACTGCTTTGTTAGCCCTGATGTTTTCCTCTCTTTTGGCCAGGAACGCGTCTGCCACATCTTCTGAATCAGATCCGAGCGTCTCTGACAGAGAAGGCAGAGTCACTGCTGTCTCCTCGTTCTCATATTTGAAATGTTTCTCTGTGTTTCTCTGTCTTGGCCTCTTCACTCCTCTTCTTGGTCTATTTGCTTCCACATCTGCATCCTCATTGTCTGGTGGCTGATGGGCAGAGGAGGCAGAGCGCAAAGCAACTCTCAGCCTGAAAGGTGGAGGGCCAGTGGATGGTTGTGATGTAGCTTCCTGCTTCATGGCAGTGGACTCAGGCTGGGCTTCCTGTTAAAAAAAATCACAATCTAATGACTGAACAGGAATGATGTGTAGTTCAGATTCAAGAAACAACTCTGATTATAACTATTTAAAATCAATAATGAAAAATGCAGGTGCACGTACCCAACAACACTTGTCTAAAACGAGTAAAATCGTACCGTTTCCTTTAGTTCGGTGTCAGAAAATCCGTGAAATGTCAAATCATCTTCAGAATCCTCCATGAAAACATGCGCCAGCTCTTTTGGGAGGGAGTTCATTCCAACCACAGACTCCACCTGTAAGCATACGTGTTGGAAAAAACATATTGAAAACATTACTTACAGTAATTCTGTGTATATTTATATTTTTTTAAATACTGGCAAAGCCTTGTTTCACCATTTTCTCCATGCCCTGACGATCGCAAGCTTTCGAGGCTTGGCTAGGTTTCCCCACACCCGGTACACGTTCAATTAGCCTGATTGAATGTTAGGTGCAGGTTTGTGCATTGTGAATCAATTGAAGCGGTTTGTCGCTTTACGTCTTTCCGGACAATTATAGCTAGCCTGGCCGTGGCACATTAAGCCACTGGTGTCGCCAGAGTTCAACGAAACCTAGCAGAAATACTAAGTGCAACTATATGCACACGATCTCAAACGATGTAAACAAAAAATGCAAAGAGATTTAAATTGTTGAAACTAAGCGCAATCAGAAACACTGTCAATATGTTCAATGAAATGAACAACTTGCTAAGGTTTAGACGCGGCGGACTGGGAGAAAAAATTGGCCCTGGCAACATGTAAAGTCCACCGCAGCACAGCGACAATTCTTAGAGGAGGGGGGGGGGGGGGGGGGGGTGAGGGGGGGAGACTTTTGCGGTGGTGTTTTTTTTTTTTTTCGTGCATGATGCAAATATAACGAGGCCGATAT